CAAATTTATATTCACCTTAAATGGGATCTGACGTCGGGGATAACGTAGCAGTATGACCTAATAGTGTGACCCATCCAGACGTATGACCCATTACTCTAGTGACCAATGGTAGCAGTGACCAAACAACAGAACTGTGACCAGCCACAGCGGTGACCCATTGCATTACAGTGGAGCTCTGCGACTGAGACAGCTTTCGACCTCTCTGATCATCAATTGTTGGGTGAATAGACTTCAACATTCTCCTCTCTCTCTTTGCTAGATATCTTATGCAGCTATACTGTTAAATTAGATAACGCTTTGGAGAGAGAGAGAAAGAGAGAGAGAGAGAGAGAGAGAGAGAGAGAGAGAGAGAGAGAGAGAGAGAGAGAGAGAGAGAGAGAGAGAGAGAGAGAGAGAGAGAGAGAGAGAGAGAGTCCATATCTCAACAGCATAATACACACAGGGAAGTGTGCTGTGACTGGGGACTAAGACGCAGTGTTTCCCACCAGCTGTGGAGTGCAGACTTCCCGGTGCAGCCACGACATGTGGCCAGTGTTAAGCTCCTGCCTGCCTGTCTGCCCGCCTGCCTGCTTGCAAACAATCCAGACTGCCTATCTGCCTGCCTGCTTGCCTGACTGCCTGCCTGCTTGCCTGACTACCTGCCTGTCTACCTACCTGCCTGCCTACTTGCCTGCCTCCGTGACTACATACCTGCCTGCCTGAGTACCTGACTGCCTGTCTGCTGTTTGATTGACTTTTCTGTCTGACCGACTGCCTGCCTGATTGTCTGTCTGCCTGCCTGATTGACTGTCTGTCTGCATGACTGACTGCCTGTCTGTCTGCCTGATTGACTGCATGTCTGCCTGACTGACTGCCCATCTGACTGCCTGCCTGACTGGCTGCCTGCCTGATTGACTGCCTGTCTGCCTGTCTGTCTGACTATCTGCCTGCCTACTTGCGTGCGTGTCTGCATTCCTGCCTGTCTGCCTTCTCGTGCCTGCTGTGACGCGGGACGTGACACGGGGCATGCACTCATGAACCTGACTGATGACCTAAGCAAGGGGTTTCCGAATCATTATATAGAGCCCGTCGTTTGTAGGTGTTACCCAGCATGATAACACAGCCAAGGACGCCATGGCCGCATGCAACCAGCAGCAGCTCCAGCTTGGGCCTAGCGTCCCATCTCGTAGTGGGGTGCCTGGGCCAAGAAACTCGATCTAACAAGAGAGAGGAAATCACAAGACAGAAAACGCAAGAATTAAGAGTGCCACTACCACCATCGCCACCACTACTATCACTATCACCACCACCACTATCACCACCACCCACGCCACCACCACCACTATCACCACCACCCACGCCACCACCACCACTATCACCACCACCCACGCCACCGCCACCACTATCACCACCACCCACGCCACCACCACCACTATCACCACCACCCACGCCACCACCACCCACGCCACCACTACCACTATCACCACCACCCACGCCACCACCACCCACGCCACCACTACCACTATCACCACCACCCACGCCACCACCACCATGTACATCAGCCAAGGCATGCAGGCTGGCCATCAACCACCCACGGGGTCCTCCTGCGTCTTATTGGATGATCACACAATGGCCCAAGTTACAGTGTGGAGCGTATAGGGGCTGGGTCGAGGCGTGGCCATGTATGTTCCAAAGCTCTCATGTGAATATGTAGGTTCACACAAAATCCCATATACAGACACCTCCATTTTGTATTGAAACTACGTAAATTGTAAATACGGTGTCATGTTTATAAACTCTAATGCATTGCATATATATATGTAGGGGGTACCACCTCTGGTGCAATTGTAGGTGGGGGTACCACTTCTGGTGCATAGCCTCGTAAGTAATTATCAAAAGAAGGCACCATACCGGGAAGGCTATGTTGCACTATCAAATGTGCGGAATAATCAGAGGGCGCTAAATATCACCAAGGATTCATAGCCTCGTAGAAGAAAAGTGTATTCAGAGAAGCCATTGTTGATTCTCACTGAACACTTTAATATTTTCTTCTCCTACCAACTCTAGTTTTGTTTTGTATTAATTGTATTACATTGTGTTACAGTTTACATAAAGCACACACACATATACCAACCACTGCTCGAAGACCTGATCCAGCTCTTCGAAGGTGGGGTGTATGTGCCCAAGATACATATACAGTATATATTATATATATATATATATATATATATATATATATATATATATATATATATATATATATATTTGTCCCCAAAAAATAATTTGGGGACACGTCGTCTGCCTTTCTGTGTATCAGACATAATGATAGATACATTTTATGTACAAAATAAAATAACCAAACAAAAATTAACAAAGAGTCGGATCATCATTTCGTCTTTTGTTCAAGACATCCGGGAAAGTCTTATATAATTCCAGATTTGTGGGACTGTCTTATGGCTCCACGCGTATGGAACCGTCTATTGGTTCCATACTTATGGAAGACTCAGACCTTTAGTTCAAAGCCTCATGAAACATCCTTCGGTTCCAGACTTATGGGACAAGCTAATGGTTCCAGACTTACGAGAAATACGAGTGGAACAAACTATTAAGTAGTATCATTGAAGCACAAATTACATTTAAAACTAAAATTGCCCATATTGGTCTACAGGAAACCATGCGGATGTAAACAGATCCTGCCGAATACGGATCAGTAAACCTTCCGGTTTGTTCCATGCAGCCACCTTAGACAAGCCACCGGCTTCCTGTCTCCGTCGAGGCCACTAGAGATGGTATCCCACAGGTAAATTCAGCTACAGTGTGTACCAATCAAGTGGCCACCTGCTTAGGAACAAAATATAGTAGGCCCACAAGCCGTGTCTCCTTGTCTGGTCAACTGTCATGCTAGTAACGAGTCGAAGTTATTTTCGTTGGTTGTCTAAGTGTTCAGTGACGTTGACGGTGATAAGAGAGAGGAAAGAACGTGCTAACCAACCACATCCCTCACAGCTTACGGCAAGGGATCTTATTTTTTTCTGTGAATGGCAGTAAGTGTTCCCTGGAGTCACACATCTCTTCTGATTACTCAGCTGTCTGTAACGGCTCGTGGCCAGGCGACAAGCAACATAAACCCATTGTTTGAGGAGCGGGCGGCCGCTGTGGACCTTGAATGATTCCTTGTAATGGGCGCTCTTTGCATTATCATTGATGACTTTTGCCTACCTCGGGAGTACAGTTTCGCAAATTGTTTACGTTTTATCAAGGCGTAACTGCAGCCAGTTGCGGGAATCGTCCAAGCTGCGAGTTATCACCAAGCCTCGCAGTCCTCACAGTTATCTGGCTCTCTAAAAGCCGGTGTACTTTGTGCACGGAGCGGGCATCTAACCTTCGAGCACGGAGCAGCGCCTCGACTCTCGGCTCCTCCCTGCACGCCCCCCTCCTGTGGCGTCTCAGTATTAGTGCCACGTCTGGTGATAGTGGCACTATTCTGGTACCCGGGTGCCCGCAGACGGAAACTTGCCAGTGCCTCCCCCGCGGCCTGCCACTCCTGCCCTGACCAGCGACCAGCCAGCACGGGGCTGGCTCCCACACCTCCCACCACTTGTGTAACGGAGCCAAACACGTATCAAAACATAAACCAATCATTAGTCCGTCGCGACAGTCAACCGCGAAGAAAAATATATTGATGAAAAATCTCATTGAAATAAAATAAAGCAAAAGGTGATTTAAGCAGTGTGAACATTTTGACCCAATCTTGAAAAGTAAAGACAGATCTGGGTTGGGTGCGTGACACTCACGCTGGTGGACGATTACCCCGGCGGCGTGACTGTCGCTGGTGAGGCCAGGCCCTCCCTCCCTCCCGGCGCACCTCTCCTGGTGACACCCGCATCACCACATCCTACTCTCCCACGACTCCCGCACCTCTGGCCAGCCCCAAGTGTCTCCAGCAGCTTCCACAGGTAGCCATTGACACACCTTTGTACCAAACAGTTGCCGCAAGTCTACTAACTCTAATTGAATTAATATGCGACTTAAGGAAAGCTCTAAGGATGAGTTAAATGCGCTATACTTGACCAAACCACTACCTTTCCCCCCTCAGTATTTCTCGATAAAGTAAGCAAGATGCAATGCACAGTGGCATGGGGGTAATAACATTTACTTTGCTTGGATCGTCAGAGAGAGACTCGATGTGTGCCTCAAAATACTAAGCCAGTTGCCTCAGCAACCATGCAGCATCCATGGCTTGGTTGGTGTTCGGCCCGAGTTTGAATCTCGGTTGATCCTGGCACAGGAGGCGCTATTAGGCCAGTGCGGCTATACACATCTCCCCCTTTAATCACACGTAAGATCAAGGTGGTAACGCATTACATGTGATGCCCAGAGGTATAGGCATGAGGGCTGTACACCGGAGAGATGCCCTTCACAATTGACCGTACCTTAATGACAATCCTTAAATTTATCTTAAAATTTACAATCTCACAATAAATCTAAGTGAATATTTGGATATTTTTTGTGTAATTTACAGATCTGTTCACATATCCATTGTTGCCCCAATTATTTTCGTTATTTAAATTATTATATTAATGCCATAAATACATTTTTTAATATCCACGAAAATAATCTTTATAATTATAATAATTATTATCGTGTTATTGTTTTAATATTAGTACTCTCATTATTATTATTATTATTATTTATTATTATTATTTACAATCAAGAATTAGGAAGAATGTAACTTAATAACAATTTACAATTAAAAAAAAAAATCAAACGTTTACTCTTGAGACTTCCTACACTTTACCCTCTCCTCCTCCCACCGTTCCTCCTTCTCTTCCTTCCTCTCCCTCTATCCTACTCTTCCTCTCCCTCTCCCCTCACGCCTCTCACTGTGGCCGCCCCTCCTCTTTCCTGATCTGGTGGAAGTGTTTCATCTCGCGTCTCCTGCAGGAGCAGCGATGCGTCGGTGCTGCTGGTGCTGCGTCAGCCTCCAGAAGGGCGTCGTGGCCATCGGTGTCTTCGGAATGGTAAGTGTCCAGACTGGTCTCTTATGTGGCGGCCAGTGGCCAGACTGGTCTGTTATGTGGTGGCCAGTGCCCAGACTGGTCTCTTATGTGGCGGCCAGTGCCCAGACTGGTCTGTTATGTGGCGGCCAGTGGTCATACTTGTCTGTTATGTGGCGGCCAGTGCCCAGACTGGTCTGTTATGTGGCGGCCAGTGCTCAGACTGGTCTATTATGTGGCGGCCAGTGGCCAGACTGGTCTGTTATGTGGCGGCCAGTGCTCAGACTGGTCTGTTATGTGGCGGCCAGTGCTCAGACTGGTCTGTTATGTGGCGGCCAGTGCCCAGACTGGTCTGTTATGTGGCGGCCAGTGCTCAGACTGGTCTACTATGTGGCGGCCAGTGGCCAGACTGGTCTGTTATGTGGCGGCCAGTGCCCAGACTGGTCTGTTGTGTGGCGGCCAGTGCCCAGACTGGTCTTTTATAAGAACATAAGAACATAAGAACAAAGGCAACTGCAGAAGGCCTATTGGCCCATACGAGGCAGCTCCTATTTATAACCACCCAATCCCACTCATATACATGTCCAACCCATGCTTGAAACAATCGAGGGACCCCACCTCCACAATGTTACGCGGCAATTGGTTCCACAAATCAACAACCCTGTTACTGAACCAGTATTTACCCAAGTCTTTCCTAAATCTAAACTTATCCAATTTATACCCATTGTTTCGTGTTCTGTCTTGTGTTGATACTTTTAATACCCTATTAATATCCCCTTTGTTATGTCCATTCACCCACTTGTGAACCTCTATCATGTCACCCCTAACTCTTCGCCTTTCCAGTGAATGCAACTTAAGCTTTGTTAATCTTTCTTCATATGAAAGATTTCTAATTTGGGGAATTAACTTAGTCATCCTACGCTGGACACGTTCAAGTGAATTTATATCCATTCTATAATATGGCGACCACAACTGAACTGCATAATCTAAATGGGGCCTAACTAGAGCAAGATATAGCTTGAGAACCACACCAGGTGTCTTGTTACTAACGCTGCGATTAATAAATCCAAGTGTCCGATTTGCCTTATTACGAACATTTATGTATGCTCGTGATGGGGTGCATCTATCGAGAGCTGGGGTTGTTGCTGTTGCGAACTCGCTAGAAGAAGTGGTTAGAGGTGTTTGTTTGGGTTTAAACTGTTAGTAGATAGAGGTATGGGAATTGATTTGGAGGAAGGAGGTAATAAAAGTATGTGTTTGTGGGAGAAAGGAATTGGCAAAACGATCAGGGAAAGAGAAGGTCCGCAAAATAACAATTCACTTAGGGTATATTACACTAACAGTAGAAGTCTAAGAAATAAAATTAACGAATTAAATGCTCTTGTCTGCACAGAAAAAATAGATATTATTGCACTTACCGAAACGTGGATGAATGTAGAAAATAGAGAACTATTAGCTGAATATCAAATATATGGATTTAAACTATTTCACACAGATAGATATATTAGACGAGGAGGTGGAGTAGCCATATATGTTAGGGACAATTTGAAATGTAGTCTCAAAGAGGGAATCAAAACAGAGCCACACACAGAAACTATTTGGATTGAATTAAACGAAAAAGCTAATAATATTATAATAGGAGTAATATATAGGCCACCAAATTTAGACAGAATGGAAGCAAAGCATCTATGGGATGAAATATCTAGAGCATCTAGATCTAACAGTATTTATGTCATGGGTGACTTTAATTTTAGCGGAATAAACTGGTTGAACAAAACAGGGAATAGTGAAGCAGAAGATTTTCTAGAATTAATTGACGATTGCTTTCTTACGCAACACATTAAGGAACCAACACGGGAAAATAATATTTTAGATTTAGTGTTAACTAACAGGGAAACGCAAATTAATGACATCGAAATAGGGAGTGAGCTAGGGAGCAGTGATCACAAAGAAATCAGATTTAGCATAGAATGGAATAGACCAGTAGGAGAAAATTCTGTTAAAGTGCCAGATTTTCGAAAAGCTGATTTTAATAGCCTAAGAAATTTTTTGGGTCAAATTGATTGGAAAAGCTTGGGTATGGGGTGTGGGCCGGTCTTGGAGCGAGACATGAACCCAGCGATAGGTGACTTAAATGGGGATTTCGATGTGGATTCAATATATAACTTATTTAAGAATATTCTAAACAAAGCACAGGAACGTAGTATACCATAAGAACATAAGAACATAAGAACAAAGGTAACTGCAGAAGGCCTATTGGCCCATACGAGGCAGCTCCTATTCTATAACCACCCAATCCCACTCATATACTTGTCCAACCCGTGCTTGAAACAATCGAGGGACCCCACCTCCACAATGTTACGCGGCAATTGGTTCCACAAATCAACAACCCTGTTACTGAACCAGTATTTACCCAAGTCTTTCCTAAATCTAAACTTATCCAATTTATATCCATTGTTTCGTGTTCTGTCCTGTGTTGATACTTTTAATACCCTATTAATATCCCCCCGGTTATGTCCATTCATCCACTTGTAAACCTCTATCATGTCACCCCTAACTCTTCGCCTTTCCAGTGAATGCAACTTAAGCTTTGTTAATCTTTCTTCATATGAAAGATTTCTAATTTGGGGAATTAACTTAGTCATCCTACGCTGGACACGTTCAAGTGAATTTATATCCATTCTATAATATGGCGACCAAAACTGAACTGCATAATCTAAATGGGGCCTAACTAGAGCAAGATATAGCTTGAGAACCACACCAGGTGTCTTGTTACTAACGCTGCGATTAATAAATCCAAGTGTCCGATTTGCCTTATTACGAACATTTATGCATTGATCCTTTTGTTTTAAATTCTTACTAATCATAACTCCCAGATCCCTTTCGCAATCCGACTTCGCAATCACAACACCATCTAGCTCGTATCTTGTAACTCTATCATCATTACCTAACCTCAGAACTTTACATTTATCAGCATTAAACTGCATCTGCCAATCCTTTGACCATTTCAAAACCCTATCTAGATCAACTTGAAGTGATAGTGAGTCCTCCTCCGAATTAATTTCCCTACCGATTTTCGTATCATCGGCAAATTTGCAAATGTTGCTACTCAAACCTGAATCTAAATCATTTATATATATTATAAACAACAGAGGTCCCAGGACAGAGCCTTGAGGCACTCCACTTACAACATTTTCCCACTCTGACTTGATTCCATTTATACTAACTCTCTGTTTCCTTTGGTATAGCCATGCCCTAATCCAGCTTAATATAGCACCCCCAATACCATGAGACTCTATTTTTTTTAATCAGTCTTTCATGTGGCACTGTATCAAAAGCTTTGCTAAAGTCAAGGTATACAACATCGCAATCCTTACCACTATCAACTGCCTCAACAATGCTAGAATAAAAAGATAACAAATTTGTTAAACATGAACGGCCATTTATAAAACCATGTTGCGACTCAATTATTAATTTATGTTTTTCAAGATGAAGACGAATTTTATTTGCTATTATAGATTCGAGTAACTTTCCCACAATAGACGTTAGGCTAATTGGTCGATAGTTAGACGCAAGTGATCTATCTCCTTTCTTAAAAATAGGAGATGTATACGATCATACAAATTGAATAGATCGTATACTAATGACCCAAAGTGGATAACAAAGAATTTGAAGAACCTTATAGGTAAAAAGAGAGCTTGGTACAAAAGGATTAAAAATGGGGAGGTCACTTTAGAACAGGAATTCGTACAACTGGTTAGAAATGTTAAAAAAGAGATAAGGAAAGCAAAAAGAAACTATGAAGTTCGCATAGCAGGGCAAGCAAAGACAAATCCTAAAGGGTTTTTTCAGTTATATCGTACTAAGACTAGGGAAAGGATAGGTCCATTAAAAACTGAGACAGGTCAAATAACAGATAGTGATGAAGAGATGAGTAGTATTTTTAATAAATATTTTGTATCTGTATTTACTAAAGAGGAACTTAACAATATGCCTTCAGCCGAACAAGTCTATGTGGGTGGGGACGAGGACAGGTTGACGAGTTTAGCAGTTACCAGGGAGGATGTTCTTAAACAAATAGTAAAACTCAAACCAAACAAATCCCCAGGGCCGGATGAAGTGTTTGCTAGGGTGCTTAAAGAATGCAAAGAGGAGCTTTGTGACCCACTGTCAACCATATTTAATAAATCAATAGAGTCAGGCAGAGTGCCAGAGTTTTGGAAAGTTGCTAATGTGATACCAGTTTTTAAGAAAGGAGATAGATCACTTGCGTCTAACTATCGACCAATTAGCCTAACGTCTATTGTGGGAAAGTTACTCGAATCTATAATAGCAAATAAAATTCGTCTTCATCTTGAAAAACATAAATTAATAATTGAGTCGCAACATGGTTTTATAAATGGCCGTTCATGTTTAACAAATTTGTTATCTTTTTATTCTAGCATTGTTGAGGCAGTTGATAGTGGTAAGGATTGCGATGTTGTATACCTTGACTTTAGCAAAGCTTTTGATACAGTGCCACATGAAAGACTGATTAAAAAAATAGAGTCTCATGGTATTGGGGGTGCTATATTAAGCTGGATTAGGGCATGGCTATACCAAAGGAAACAGAGAGTTAGTATAAATGGAATCAAGTCAGAGTGGGAAAATGTTGTAAGTGGAGTGCCTCAAGGCTCTGTCCTGGGACCTCTGTTGTTTATAATATATATAAATGATTTAGATTCAGGTTTGAGTAGCAACATTTGCAAATTTGCCGATGATACGAAAATCGGTAGGGAAATTAATTCGGAGGAGGACTCACTATCACTTCAAGTTGATCTAGATAGGGTTTTGAAATGGTCAAAGGATTGGCAGATGCAGTTTAATGCTGATAAATGTAAAGTTCTGAGGTTAGGTAATGATGATAGAGTTACAAGATACGAGCTAGATGGTGTTGTGATTGCGAAGTCGGATTGCGAAAGGGATCTGGGAGTTATGATTAGTAAAAATTTAAAACAAAAAGATCAATGCATAAATGTTCGTAA